AAAGAAAAAAAGAAGAAATAATCAGGAATTTTCAGTCCCGCCGCCCATTCCCCAGGCATGGAAATATCATTCTATTTCACTACTGATTACTTTTCCTGAAAAATAGCTTTCTTTTTCTTTCGTTTCACCAGACATGACGTACATTCGAGTCAAGAACGGACAAAAGAATCTCACAAGAACGGACAAAAGAATCTCACAAATGTCGTTGTCGATGACATTTATTTTTTAAAAATCATTCCCTCCAACAAGCAAGGCAATAAAGCCACTAACACGTCAGGGGTTATCGAGTGTTAGAGAGTACCAGCAGGAGAGCCCGGCGTTGCCCGGGGATGTAACAGTAAGAGATAGATCAAGTATCGACCATCATCAAGACTGAAAAAATAAAATTGACAAAGATTATTGTTTAAGGTTGACGGACACGCATGTCTTAATTGTTTTTTTTTTTTTTTTTTGTGGGGGGGTTTACGAATTGGTCAAACCCAAACTCAAACAAAAAGGTTGTTTTCAATCGTTATGAGTCTATCGATTGAACAGAATTTTATTATAAACAATTGTCTTGTAAATGGAATTTTTAAAGCATTCTGAATGTAAAAATAAAAAGAAAAAAGTGTGCAAGACAATAAAAACACTACCTGCCAAAAAAAAGAGGTTTTGTTGAAATCGGTTGAAAATGTAGGAAATCTGATCCCATATATAAACGAACACACACACACACACACACACACACACACACAACAAAACAACCTAGATTTTATAATAAGTATAACTCGATATGAGTTGTCCTCCTTTCATTCTCGAAACAGCGATGTCTCTTAACGTGTTTTCAAATTGATTTCGTGCAAAAACAATGAAAGCTTAGATTGTATTAAAAAAAATATGGATCAATATTGTGAATTTCTTTCTTCGTTCAACGATAATGTTATTAAACTTATCAGTCGTTACGAAAAGATTTTACATAAAATAAATAGACAACACTTGTCTATATTATTAAATGAAACGTGTATGAATGAAAAGATGCTGCCTAAATACACACAATATATATATATATATATATATATATATATATATATATATATATACATACAAGTATATGATTGGTGTATATGGAATAAATTCCAATAACCAACAATTACTATTCTTAAAAGAGTGCTCAATACAAGAAGATATATATATATATATATATATATATATATATATATATATATATATATATATAATTATTTATTTAAAAATTATAACATAAAAATGTTATAAAATTACTACAAAATAGCCATTTTATTTCAACTCCTCCGGTGTCTTATCAAGTGATGATGTTGAAACTTAAAACCATTTATTTTACATTCAACATCATCACTTGATAAGACACCGGAGGAGTTGAAACAAATGGCTATTTTTGTAGTGATTTTATAACATATTTATTTATAATTTTTAATAAAATAATTATAATATATATATATATATATATATATATATATATATATATATATATAATGTATAATGTATACATACTAACAGAATATATGTCCAAATATATTTTATTGAATTTGGCCGACATTTTTCTGTCTGTTTAAGGTTTAAGTTTTATTGCATTTTAATGGTTTGCGCATAAACAGTCAATTTTTTAAAATTGTGCAAAGTTCATGAATGATATATGCTACTATGTTTTGCTTTATCTAACACAAGCTCCCACTTGTAGTGTAGCGAGTGGGAATTGCTTTCATGACACTAGCTTACGGTTCCTTCAAGATGAACTTGAGCTATGCCATGCGCCCAAATTGATAGACACACAAAGATTAGGGAATGCGTGTACATACATATATATGTAAGCAAATATATGCGAGTATAAAAAATATACAGAAAAACAAACAAAAAATCTTAAAATGCTATTATATGGTATTAATGTTAATATAAAAAGTCAACGTCAGACGTTTCAATCTATTTAGACCATCATCAAGGACATATTCATAAAACATAATTAACATTAGAACATATAAAATTCAACATTTTATGGACATAAGTCCACAATGGTCTATTAACTGAAATTTTCAGTTATCTGTTTTTTCCCTGATGATGTTGAATTTTTAACTTAATTTTATCAATGACACCCAGTAGCGTATTAAAATTTTTGTTTGTTTTTCTAATACATATTTTTCATATATATATATATATATATATATATATGATTCCAAAAAAAAATTCGCTTTGAAGATGGAACAGAGCTTTCTTTAACTCAATTTAATTCAAATAATTATATTGAAGTTTTCGGCTCTTATGTCGCGAGTTTTTAAATAATAATATAATATTATTTTTAAATATATATATATATATATATATATATATATATATATATATATATATATATATATAAATCATCTCATTTTAGTTTAGAATGCAACAAGGTCAGAGTCTATCCTGTTTCTCTTCTGGTTTTTAAAACATTGAACATTTATTGTCCTGGAGTGACTCTGAAGAACGGAGATATTTTCTTATGATATATTTATTTATTTCATATCCTTTATAAATCTTTTTACCATTTAAGTAAATGCTCTGTTTTTAATTAAACAGTATTAATTACATTCACCGGCTTGAATATTCGAGAAATTTCGTAGAAAATATTCAGGCCGGTAAATGTAATTAATACTGTTTAATTAAAAACAGACCATTTACTTAAATAAATTGCACCTATAAAAATAACGTATAAACAGAAAATATATTCAATAATTGTTGGACCTAATCCATTTAATTTCGTATAGGAATGCAGGTTCGATTCCTGTCGGAGAACGCTTATTTTCTACGAAGGTTCTCGAACATTCAGGCCGGTAAATGCAATTAATTCTGTTCAATTACAAACAAAGCATTTACTTAATTAAATTGTATCCATAAAAATAACGTATAAATAAATATAATATATATATATATATATATATATATATATATATATAGAGAGAGAGAGAGAGAGAGAGAGAGAGAGAAAGAAAGAGTGAGAGAGAGATTGCGAGGACAGCTGTCAGGTAGGTTGGTTCACTGTATTGTGTTATACTGTTTTTATCTCCAAATTCTATCTTACATAAGACTACCATTTGTTCATGCTTAGAATATTGCTGCCACATGTGATCCGGTGTTCCTGATATCTATCTTTTTCTTGAATAAGCAATATTATTGGTCCTGATTTGCTGTTTCGGCTTCAGTCACTTGCTTCCCTTTGCCTTTTCTATAAATAATTTCATGGTATCATGGTAATTGTTTGGATTAGTTCTTGGTTGAGATGAACAGACTCTTTGAATTTAAGCGTAGTACTAGACTGGTGGCGAGATCTCACCAATTTACCAGTTTGGTTGATGTTACCGTAAATTTTATGCTAACAGTTTTTTTCTCGCACTTCTTGCTTGTGGAACTCCCTTACGGCTTTACATTCACATAATTTCATATAGCACTACGGACATTTAATTAATTGATAAAACAAACTTTACTGCAAGGAAAATTGAACATTTTATCGTTATTGTATATTTCTGACGTTCCGCTTCTACTTTTCCTTCAGAAAATAGCATTTTTTATGTTTCATTTAAAGGCTGTGTTGTTGTTAATTGTCGTTAATTACTTGGAATCCCGACAGATAATAATAAAAACCTTGGTAGACGGATCCCAACAGGGGTGACCAGCGATGTTTAAAGGACATTTCTCCAGTAGTATTTCAAAAGACAACATACATTTTAGATAACTCCAAATTCTATCTTACATAAGACTACCATTTGTTCATGCTTAGAATATTGCTGCCACATTTACTGATATTTTAGGACTTCTACTCCTTTTTATAAATTACGTAACGAATCACCACATCGCCGAGACATTTCACTATTGAGCGACAATGGCTGCGACCGACCCTACAGAAGCCACATTGACAGTGAATCTTCACGCATACAACCCAGCGAATGTACAAACTTGGTTCTACCAACTAAATGCGATTTTTAACGCTAAATATGATCACATCACAAAATTCGTGATATCATAAATTACGTAAATAATACGATAGAAAAAAAAACTACATAACATATTTTTCTTGAATGCTTCTGCATATTTTAGGACTTCTACTCTTTTCATTATCACCGTGCGGACCCTGACATTTCGCCTATGGCGATGAATGGGTGTCCCCACAGAGAAGTCCTGTGCGTTGAGCGCCTATGTCGACTTAAGCTCAACCCAGACCACAAGTGCCACCTGTACATACAATCCGTCGCTAAAGATGTTGGAAGAAAGTGTCGGGTCCCTGACTCCTAGCTCTATCTTTGCAAAAGACAGATCAGGCTGTACTCTTGCCATATATGGACAGGAACTGCTTAGTTTTCAATTTCTAGTTTTGATAGCCCCAAAACGTCCCCGCCTCCTTGTGAATGACGAATCATTTACCTGACTCTTCCTGCTATCTTCTACCTGGCCAGATTAGGTCGAAAATGGAACGCTGGTGTCATATTGGACATCAGGAGCTGTCCAATTTACACTTTCTAACCTTGACAGAGCCCCCAAAGCGTCTCCGCGATCTTGTAAGTGATGAATTATTTTCCACCTTACAACCCATTTTCCACAGACAGTTCGTTGCAGGCCTCTCGCTGCTCTATAGCTATTTCCAAGGAAAGTTTTAAGATGAACTACACTCTTTACTTCCACCACAGCTAAGACCCGCTATGCCACGCCCATTGTAACGAACCACCTTCATTCCCTTCGTATTCTATTTGGTGAGATGTAAGTTCCTCTCGGGCAGCTTCTTCTCACAAACTGTTTACCCGATTATCTTATATTACTAGTCTTAACCTGTTCATATCTAGGCTTAACCGTTATCTTTCCCATATATTTCCATAAACTCTGCCTCTTACATTTTACTCTGTAACCCTTTATCTTGAGTGGCTTTTGGGATTTGAACATTACTGTACAAAAAAAAAAAAACGATTAAAACTAATTTAAGTTTAAAAAGACAAAAAAAAAAAACGATTAAAACTGATGTAAGTTTAAAAGGACAAATAAAATATGGAGAAACTAAATAAAATTCTGAAGAAGAAGAAGAAGAAGAAGAAGAAGAAGAAGAAGAAGAAGGAGGAGGAGGAGAAGAAGAAGAAGAAGAAGAAGAAGAAGAAGAAGAAGAAGAAGAAGAAGAAGAAGAAGTCTTATTAATGATCTTTCTTTATACAGTGGATCTTCGGTTCACGAATTTAATTCGTTTCCTAAGGCCGTTTGTAACTCGAAATGTTCGTAAACCGAAACTATTTTTCCCAGTAGGAATCAAATGTAGAGAAAAAAAAGTCACAGTACAATAAAATTGGGGAAAAAAAAAGCACAACACAAGAATCCATACAACACGGCGGTCGACTCAGAAATAATTCCGTTCCGGTTAGCTCGGTTCGGCAATGTTGTTCGAGGACCGAAATTTTGTTCGATAACCGAGGCATTTTCATCTCGAATTTTCTGTTCGAAACCGATTTGTTCGACATGTGAGACGTTCGAGAACCGAGGTTGCTCTATGTATATATATGCCTTGAATATTACAAGCAGAATTGCAACGAAAAATCCAATCATTAGAAATGAGATGCTACAGAACAATCCTGGGTATCTCCTACACTGACTGCATTACAAATGATGCAATGCAAGACATCACCAGTCAAACAAGAAATCCCTTAGGAAACCTCACATCCATATAGCATATGATGCGACCATGTCACAAGAACTGACAATTTTTCCACCATTATCTTACTTATTATAAAACGATTGATTGTGTGTGTGTGTGTGTGTGTGTGTGTGTGTGTGTGTGTGTGTGTGTGTTTATTTATATTGGATCGGATTTCCTACATTTTCAACCGATTTCAACAAAACTTCACAGGACTGCGTAAAATTACCTTGCGGTGGTTCTGACAGCGCCAAAATTGATAAAAACACAATTGTTTTTGCACAAAATCAATTTGAAAACACGATAAAACACGATTCTGTCACCAGAATGAAAGGGAGACAACTCATATCGAGTTATACTTATTATAAAACCCAGGTTGTTTGTGTGTGTTCGTTTATATATGGGATCGGATTTCCTACATTTTGCAATCGATTTCAACAAAACTTCACTTGGGGGGGCAGGTAGTGTTTCTTATTGTCTTTAACACTTTTTTCTTTATTTTTACATTCAGAATGCTTTAAAAATTCCATTTACAAGACAATTGTTTATAATAAAATTCTATTCAATCGATAGACTCATAACGATTGAAAACAATGTTTTTGTTTAAGTTTGGGTTTGGCCAATTCGTAAAAAAAAACCCAAAAAACAAAAAAAAAACTAATGAAGACATGCGTGTCCGTCAACCTTAAACAATAATCTTTGTCAATTTTATTTTTCAGTCTTCATGATGGTCGATACTTGATCTATCTCTTACTGTTACATCCCCGGGCAACGCCGGGCTCTACTGCTAGTCCTTCTATATGTCAAACGAAGAAGAGGCCAACAGAGGGGAAAATGGACTGACAATGTCAACGGATGGGTAGGAAGATAATTCACACAGACGCTGACATTGGCACGTAACCGAGACATATAGAGGGGTCTAGTCAATGACCACACAACCAGACCCGATGATGGGATAAAGGATGATGTTTTCTTGCTTTCAACTTGCCTTCAGCTTAAAAGGGAAATCAATGTAAATTTTTGGCTTGCGAAGAGAATAGAAGTCCTACAACATGCACGAATGTTCATTAAAAATATGACATATACAATCGTATAATAAGAGGAACATTTTTTAAGAGCTGAATTTGCCTCATTTACTAAATGATTAGGAAATGATATTTTCTTTAATGGAATTTGGGACACGTTGGTATTTAGGATAAACAGTGACGCGTTAAGTAAATTACAGCAGAAAATTGACCAGACATACGAGACCCGAAAAGATCAAACCATATGTACGAGTTTTCAGAACTGTGACGCCAGACTGAAACGATCATTTTAAGTGGACCCAACATCAAGTGAATATTTATTTACACGTGGCATATGTTGCGTAAAAAGCAATTAGACATAAGCAAAAGCCCGTTTACGACTACGTATTCAATCTATAGATTTTTTTGCACAAATAAATGCCGGAATCATTTGTACATATCTAACATGTAGATAAATGCATCTGTTGTTTCTCTATCTTATGTTTTGTCTACTATTCTCTGTCACACTCTATTTTTGTTCCTTACTCCTTTTACTTCTCTCTCTCTCTCTCTCTCTCTCACACACACACTTTTCTTCTCTTTCTACTTCTTACTGGCATTTTCTGTGTGTGTGTGTGTGCGTATGTGTGAATTAAATCGACTTCCTCACTCACTTTTTTGTATTAATACATAAACTTTTATGTTTTTTATCTCTCTCTCTGTCTCGTTTTCTCTCTCTCTCTCTCTCTCTCTATATATATATATATATATATATATATATATATATATACAGATATATATATATAATACTCAAACACTAATATTCCATGGTAATAATTTATTACATTGAAATCGCTTTTAATAATTTATTACATTGAAAAGCTTTTTGAATTTGTGGGTCTGATGAATTGGATCGTGATTACGATTTCAATGTAATAAATTATTACTATGGAATATTAGTGTTTGAGCCTTTTATATTATATTCTTACTCTGTCCTGGATATTGAGTTCTACCTGGATTCTATCCTCTTGGGAATTTATATATATATATATATATATATATATATATATATATATATATATATATATATATATATAGTAACTCAAAAGATTGGCTAAAAAAAAGACCCTACTTGATGAAAAAATGCCCCAAACTTGACAAAAATAAAAATTTATCATCAAAATCTTTGTGCTATTACTAAAAGGAAAATGAAAGGATTTGTTGATGTAAAAATTATTTTGTTTAATCCTTCAAGCAAAAATTTAGAAATAACCAAGATGCGTAAATTTCAAGATTAGTTATTCCTAAATTTTCGATTGAGCATGAAACAAGGCCTGATACTTTAACTCAATTTAATTCTAATAATTATATTGAGGTTTTCGGCTCTCGTTTTTAAAACATGAGAACTCTTATGTAGCGAAGGAATCATATTTTCTTTTTAAAAATAATTATAATTTAAGCTCTACTTCTTTATGGAGCACTGTTTTTTAAAAATAAAAACAAAAATACTAAAGAAATACGGATTATTTACCTAACGTGTTCTTTCCTGTTTTTCTACATATATATATATATATATATATATATATATATATATATATATATATATATATATACCATAAAAGATGCTGGAAGAAATAGTCAGTTCCTGTACCTGAGTCCTATCGCTATCCTCTACCTTTACAAGAGACAGATCAGGCCGTACTACTGCCATATATGGACAGGAAGTGCCCATTTTCAATTTCAAGTTTTGATAGCCCAAAAACGTCCCCACGCCCTTGTGGGTGACGAATCATTTACCTAACTCGTCCTGCTATCTTCTATATGGCTTTATTTGCCTTTTTGAATAAAAGCCTATTTAACACGGAATTATCTGCTTTTATGAAGTGTTATAAGGAAGCATTCGGTATTCATTGACCGAGTAACCAGTGTCACCATTGATTGAAATTTCTAAAATCTTTCTATTAAAACAATTTTTCAGGAAAATATTTTTTTCAAGTCCACAAACTGCTATTCTTCTTTGCAATATTAATGGGCCTTTCTTCCTAGCTATACTTTGAAATTTTTTTTCCATATCTCTCCAAAGAGTATTTGCGCATAAGTGAAAATAACGAAGTTGACTGGAAATGGAACTCGTCTCTCCGACTTCAGAATCGTTATCCATTACACCACCTCCACATCGAAGCTTGCAGCATCTGTCGATTAACTTCGGGGATCGTACAAGAACCTGTGTTTCAATGACCGTAAGCATTCAGCAGATTGACATAAATCAAGTTTTGTTTCGCTAATGTAGATTTTGTTGAAATCAAATGTTTTTTCTTATGATGACTGTTCGTCACAAAGCCTATCTAAATAGTGGTTTTATAACTTATCTCATAGATATATACGAGTTTATACTTATCTCATAGATATATACGAGTTTATACTTATCTCATAGATATATACGAGTTTATACTTATTTCATAGTTATATACAAGTTTCATTAAAGACGACTGATAATTATATTTTTATTTTTTATTTTTCTTGAGTTCGTATAATTTCTTTTTCTTTTCTGGGCATAAAATATGTAAAATTATCTGAATGTTCTGCATATCCGACCACTTTCGGTCATTCTTTTGTAACATTGGCATCATGAAGTGGTTAAATGTTAATTCAGAACAGAAAAGGGTTAAGCCTAGGATGAAATACAAACTGGAAAATAGAAAGATTGAGAATGAAAGACATTTTCACTGGAAATGTGAAAGTGAAAAAAAAAGCTATCTGGATTGTCTCACCCCTACGAATTGGAATGATGCATCTATCGAATATCTGGCATGCGGGCAAAACAAATTGGGAAATAAATTTATCTCTTTTTTGAGAAATTCGGAAAACACATTTCATTAATGACAGGAAAGACAGGCAGGAATTATATTTCCGTTGACGAAAACAAGAATCGAACCCTTTTCCTTAGGGTCGAAGTCATGAAGAGCAATAAAGCTGCTGGTTTGGTTCCTGTTTTAGCTAAGACAGCGATCAACCCACGGATGGAGAACAATTTTGCCTCTTGTTTGAGAATTTAGGCAATCAAATATAATTTTTGTTGAAAGCAATTGGGAAATAATTTTATCTCTAGCTCGGAAGGTTAGATGAGAACGCTGTGGTCCAGTTTGTGTTTTCACTGGACAAGGATAATTCTGGAAAATGGAGAGAATTAAAATTAATGATTAAAATAAACTACGCCTTTTCGCCTACGCACTTTAAAATTAGATTTGTCACAAAGACAGCTATAGCCGCCCTGAGAGGTGTCCAGAGGCGAAATGCCAAAAGGAAAGGAGGAAGAAGAAGAAGAAGAATTTAGCACCGCTTGTGTGGAGTGGTGGTGCGAGATGTGAAGTGAAGCAGGATGGAGTTATGGGTGGAGCAATCCCTGTGACTACACCCAGGGAAGGTGGATAATTCTCCAAATGTGGAAAATTGATTAAGTAAGCAGAAATAGGGAACAAAGAACCTTTATTGGGAATA